CACGAAGTATATGTGTTTAAGTACATTCCATGTTATAGTATGCTATGTTATGTCATATTGCATACACCTTAATAAGTCAAGAGGAACTTATAAGAATAATATCAGTTGAGTGCCGTACCAGCCTCCACAAGGGAGGTAACTCCAGCTCCACAAGGGAGAAAAAGAAAATAACAATAATTTCCTCCGACTCAAGGGAGGCATTCAAGTTATAATCACGGTGTCGTGGGGGACCTTGCAAACCCTCACGTTCCGATGATTGCGCGCAAGTGGTACGCGAGCACTCGGGCCCATCAGTAAGGAAGATAAGATAAGATAAGATAATAAAATTATGATAAGACATCATAATTAAGCATAATCAGCTCATGCATATTTATTCATGTGTACTTACAGTTATTTTGTGAGATATAGTTCCTACTTGCTGAGCGAAAGCTCAATCAGATATGTTCATGTTGTAGGTAAGAAACCTATCAGCAATTCTTGAAGGGCAATGGCGAGCGGTGGACGAATGGTGGAGATGGGAATGGATACCGCTCACGCAGTTATTTTCCGCCGTAAGTTTAAGAAAAATCATGTATATGTCTATATGATTCAAAAGTTTCAAGTATGTATGTTTAAAAAGTATACGTACATATGTATGTTAAGAAAACCAAGGTTGTAACTAACAACCCTAGTTTTGAGTATTTAAGTTTTAGAATGTTACAGTACATGCAACAAATAAATGAATTTTAAACATGACGATTTAAATGAGTAATTTTAAAAGGACTTTAAGATGTACTTGAATTTAAGATTTCTCACGAAATCCGTTTTAAAGTCAAATGAGATGGCCGATTGAAATGACTAGTTTTAGAAAAGCTTTTAAAGAGTATTTAAAACAAGAGTTCAAATGCTATTCCATTTGAAGGATATTCCTAAAAGGTTTTATCTTAACTAAAATTAAGAAAAGCTTTAAGAAATTTAGTGATTCACTTATTTGAAATTATTGTTACAAATTATGAAAGTATTCCTTCTTATATAAAAAAAAAAAAAAAATCGTCACATTAAGTGTATCCATATAATCCCACAATTTATTATTTGATAACAATTTGTGAGTTAGTGATTATGCTAATTCACAAAAAAAAAAAAAAAAAAAAAAAAAAAATTCTAATTTTCTCCCACTTGGATAGCATAATAAAAAAAACATGATACTCACATAAAACAAGATATCAAATAATAATGATAGCAATAATAAATAAATTATGGATAAACTTATAGCTTAAGCTTTATAATAGCACATGAGCTTCTAATTAAAATTTTCATTCTCACTTTAACACAAAAGAGACCATGTATGCTTATACAAATAATTAGACATTAAAACATTAAACACAAAATGGGCATTTTAAAAATTTGAACAAACATCCATATTATATGTCTAAATTTTATTTACAAAAATATCAAATTATGTTGGAGAACAAATAAAATATGACCATATAATATAAAGTAACAAACATGCCTCAAAATTTTAGGTCTCAAAAGAGTGAGTATTAAAACTACCCAGAAAATATATGAAAATCACTAAAATAAATAAATATTTAAATAAAAATATTTCTAGTATCTCATGTGCATCAATGTAAGGAGTGTGTGTATCCCAATACCCTTTTTCAAAAGGAAATGTTAAATTTTATGGGAGAGTTCTGTAACATACTCATACAATTTGACATGTTTAGACTCACGACAGGTGAGTACATAAACATTCACTATTGTCGAATTCTCACAATAACATATGCCATATAATAATAACAACATAATAAAAATTTTATGACATTAATCATCAAACAAATTGTATAAGAAATGCCCAGGAAAAATTTATTTGAAAATTGTGAGAATTAACGACCCATAAAAATATACAATCAATAATATAAAATATTAAAACATGATTTCATGGTGGCCCAAACCCAAAATAAATCATTTAATTGGGCAGGAAATGACAAACGAAGCGCAACGATGAAAACGGAGTTAAAATCAATAAGGAAGAATTTAGCCCAAAAATGGGCCCCATGCGCGCCATGTGGGTGCTGACGTAGGCGCTGACGAACGTACTGACGCATGCGCGCTGACGCATTTTTTTTCTTTTCTTTTCTGGTCGTCTTCAACCTTGAGACAGGTCAAAAGACCCGTTTTAAACCCGGATCCAACTCGAAAATTCAAATGGGCATAACTTTCTATCTATAACTCCATTTTTGATGATTCTAAAGGAGTTTTCTCTAAATTTCGTCCTCTTTCACATTCTGAGATTAATTTTTCTCAACAAGGCCCAAAAATTAGACCCCTAAAAACCCCTAACCGGTTATTTTTAAAGCTTCAAAACACAGTGAATCCGGCCAAATCGACCCACAAAACTCAAGGAAATCATCACCCATATGTCATACTCGAAGTGGGTAACCTCAAAACAACGTTTCCTTGAGCCAAAATACGGATTCAAATTTTGGATTTTTCTTCCACCGAAAATGAAAAAATCCGAAAATACATAGCTCTAAACCCAAATAAGTTGGCTCTGATACCATTTACTAGATTTAAAATAATCTAAACAAGATCATAATAGCTAATTTAGCCTAAAATCCGAAAATGCAATAAAAACTCTTATTTTGGATTTAGGCATACCTCTATTCCGGTGGGCAGCGGAAACACGTCATTCACGGTCACCGGAATCCGCCAACGGCCGGTCGGAGTGGGTGGAGGAGCTGCAAAAAGAAGAAAGGCAAGAGGAGCTCTGAGCTCCTCCCTATCTCTCCCTCTCTCAACCATTCGGCCACACCTCCCTAAAAGCCCCACGCACCCTTGACCAAAAACAAAGGGTGGCACCAAAAATATGGAGAAAATGAGATGGGGTGGGGATATTGGCTTTAACCAATATTCAATTAGAGAGCATATTTAGCCTAATGGGCTGACCAAATATTATGAGATAGATGGAGTTTATATGCCTCAAGTGAGTTAATAAAATAAGTGTCCATCGCATAATGGACCGATATTTAACATACATGCATGTGTTAATTCACATTAACACAGTTGTTCATAAGATGTTTTAAATAATTATAAAGTGAATTATTATGATTATGGAAGTCCACATAAAAATATTCCAACAGTGAAACGATCGACCAACTAGAAAGTAATAAAGAGGTAAATAGGAAAATTTGAAGGTTTTTTTTTTTTTTTTATAGAGAAAAATCCTCCTACATTTCCATTCAGATGAACTGTGAATCATACGTTCATAAGCGTGAATGGATCAAAGGATAAATCTTGAATGTTCAATTTCCTATTTATTCCGAAGGGTTTTACACCTTCTATACAGGTAATCTTTCTATAGAGAGAGAGAACGACAATAGCTCCAAAAACCGCAACAAATTAAAAGAAGAGAAACGACACAAAAGTAGAAGAAGAGAAAAAAATGACAAAAGTAGGAACCGATACTAAGCCAAACGACGACACTTCACAAACGACAAGTGAACCAGACCACAAAGGCTTTAATATGTCATACGACAACAAACTTGAAGCACACCGAGTGTGAAAGAGCAACAATAACGCGAGCATTAAGGACAACCAATCAATTTAAAAAAATAATAATAACAATAACAACTAAGTAAACGACAATAATTTAAAACAAGATGCGTGCAATAAATTTAATTTAGAGACACGCAGCAATATCTCAAGTACGACGAGCACGAAAAATGACAATGGCATGTAAACAAATAAGAACGGTACAAAATAATTAAATAAAATCTCAATTCTCAAACGACATAATATACACGCTCTTCAGCAACAGAAAAAACGACGATAAACTCAAAGAGCAAATGCAATATGAAGATAAAACGACAAAACTAACAGATCGACAATAAAGAAAAACGACAACAACACAGGAATGATGGTAAAAAAACATAATAAACTATTAAGCGGGGAAAAAAAAAGCCAACGATTAATACTCTTTAACTTTTGTCGACACTTAAAAAAAAAAAAAAACAGTGCTAAACAGTAAACGGGTACCAAATACGTTATTTATACTGGTGCCTACTTCATCATTTGCTGGTTGAATCCTAAACTTTTAGTTTTAGCATATAATACTCCAAATTTTACAATCTTAGCAATATAGTCCAATCCAAAAACCCTATTATGATATTATTGAAGTGCTATCTTTTGATAACGTTAAAGAAAACGATGAATTTTTTTTTTTTTTTTTTTGCTACTATTTAATAAAGTCAGCAATATAGGCTACGACACGACGACTTGAAAACGACACAAATTTCCCAAGTTATAATTGAGAATAAAAATAAAAAAAAAAAAGATCCAGGTGAGATTTGAGTCGACCTGAAATTGACATGAAAAAATAAGGATTAATTTCGTGTTAAGACCAGCCTAACCTGAACACGACACAAAACTCGTAAAAAAATTAATATTTATATATATACACATTTTTCATTACTCGTAAAAAAATTAATATTTATATATATACACACTTTTCATTTCATATTTTAGATATTATAAACTTGTGGCATCATGATAATGGTTCTTAAAATCTGATACTATTACTTACTTAATTTTGATGGATATTATTTTATTTTAGTGTGTTATGAGATTTTAGTTATTTCTAAAAAAATCAATAAAAGTACACAATTTGTGTCAATTTCGTATTTACGGGCCATTTTCGTGTTGTCTCATGTCAACTTGTAAAATGATGTGTCGTGTTCGTATTGCAGTTTTTAAAAAATTTCATCACGAGTTATATTTGAGCCAACTGTAAATTTAAGAAGAAATAACCAAAACACGACACGAGTATACCATACAGAAAGATGAATGGATTGTTATATGACTTGGACATTGATATATGATTAAACAAAACAAAAACAAAACAAAACAAAAAAAATTAACTTAGTGAACAATTCATTCAAGCAATTACACGGGTATATCAACCATATTGCTAACGAGAATGGTAAAAAGGCAAGCAAATCATAACACTGCTCAGAGAGTGGGAGATGAGTGGAAGAAAATTTCCTCCAATTGTAAACCAAAATTTTTCATTTCCATCAAAATAGACAGAGAGTAAAGGGTAAACAGCCCCCATAAGAGAGAAATTACAAATTCTCATGTCAGTCATTCATAAAGAATTATTATCGATTCAAAATTTTGTCACTGAAATTGCCATTTCCACAGACAACAGAACATTTTGGCTCGATTACTTCTATAATACTTATCTTCATATATCACACCTTACAAATTGTTTAGTTGAGCCTGAAATTGCCATGTCGTCGCCTCTTTTACATAGATGTGACCACTCAACGTCTCCATAACCGACCTTGCTGCTTCTGTTCTTGCATTTTCCTGCATAAAACGTTTGGAATATCAAACAAAATAAGAATACAAAGTAAAACAAACTTATGGTTTTCAAATCCCCCAAGACATAATTATCCATTCCTTTTGCCACGACTGGAAAGCATAAAGTTTCAACAGTTATGTGACAAGGTACACATAAATGGCTCCAAAATTAATCAAATCAGAACTTCACTAATTAAGTGTGATTAGAAGCACTTTATGGAAAATGACTGAACAGAATTCTCTTTAAACTAAACAATTTTTTTTTTTTTTTAAACAAGCCTTAATCCCAAATTAATTGGGGTCGGCTATATGGATTTCTCATTTCTAGTATGTTCTATTAAAAACGCCCCAACAGTCTTTAAACTAAACAATGATGTCAAAAATATAATTTACCTTCGATGCTCTCTGGAACGCCGAATGAATTCTTCTGGAATATCACAGCCTTCATAAGATGCTAACACTTGCCTGATATCAGCTGGTGGATTACGGGCAACAACTGCATATACACCAAACAAGCGGTAAAGCTCCACAAGAAGAGTCGCTTGTTCTATTTATCTAATGGAAATCAGATACATATACTCACATTCAAGAAACGGTATGAAGTCCAGAAGAGCTGTGTCGTCTAACTCAAGCTTAAATGGCTTTATTGGGGCACCGTTCTCTGGTTGAAGGCTATTTTCTCGTGCGTGGGCACTCAGATAGATGATCTTTCCAGGATCTCTGTTAAGTTTTGAAAGGTCCTGTACAAGTAAACCATATCTTATCACCCACACTGTTCTTTTCTATTAGCCACAGGATTAATATCTAATCAGTTATATATTATGCTAAAACTATGCTAGTCGGTTGAATTCTTTGCTTGTTCTGTAAGTAACGTCTAAACATTTGTAAAAACTGTATCCTCCTGGCAAAAGTACACGCTAAAAGAAAGATCTTGAAGGTGCCAATATTCTCAAAGCAATAGTAAAGGAAGCACTTATAAAATATTTATTTGGAACAAACATAATTAATCACAGCATACCCGATAATGTTGTCCATTCTGATATCTAGTAGCAGCCTTTCCAAGCCTATATCGTACACAATGCTTGGTGTCCAATCTCTCCATTACAGGATCTACGTACTGCACTTGCAAAGATAAAGCAATACCATGTTGATGAATATTAACATTGAAACAAAAAATAATGAACCGCCATAAGAAGCAAGAATTTTAAATTACCATATTTGAATAGTCGGAATACACAACAATTTCATAATACTGAGCCAGATGTTCCAAAAAAGCATCGACTCCAGGTCTTTTAATTGTTTGCCAGCCCTTTTCTCTCTTCAAGTCCAAGAAGAAAACGTTGATGTCAGTGCTCCATTAAGAAAAGTTCTAAAACATATTAGGTACAAGAATGAAACTAAGAGCCAAAAATTTGGAGATGACATGAAAACAGATGCAAACATTTCTTAGAAACTACCAAAGCACACTACATATGCAGAAACATAATTATGCAAATTTGTAATCACGAAAATTGTGCCACAACCATTTTGTCAATACAAGCCTTACCGTCCAATAAGAGTACAGTAGCGTCTCTTGTAGATCCAGAACAAGTGTAAAAACATGTCGCTCCATGGGATGCAAATCTGGAAGAAGCTTTTCTGCATATGGTTCAGTATAACCCTAAAACGAAGCAGGAAGATGATGGTGGTTAGGACAAGGGGGGGACGGAAGTAAAATGACACAAAGTTACAAACATGTTATGGAGAAGCAGAGGATCACAAATGAAATGCACTCACTTTCACTTGTTCTTCAATCATTTTCCTTGCATCCAAGTACAGTTCAGTTGCTTTAGCAGGAACTGTATATCAGATACACAAAAATATCAGCATAAAAATTGACAGACGCATGAGTGAATCGCATAGGTACTTTGTTTTTTCACACTAATGCCAATTCTAAATTCTATAGTTTCCAGGTTAAGTTATTTCCAAACTTCAACGTCATAAGGTGCGGGCTTTTAAATTCTGAAACCGGGCATGATGTGCGAGCATTTAAGAATGGAAGTATAACCTTCAGAATTGCATTCTTTTAACATGAAAAGCATAACTATATGCACACAGCAAACTCACCTGTCATTGCAGAAGAGTAAAGCAAACTCTTAAATTTCTGCAAAAGGAAATTTATAAGGAAACATTAATCCACAGATATTTCCTTAGGAGCATAAAAGTAAAAGTGACTGTACGACAGCACATTACAAGTAGCAATGCCGCAAACATCATAAAAGCACAAACACCTAAGAAGCACAGTCCTTGTAGCCTAAGACACTAACACACAAGAACATATTTCAAGGAATAATAGTTGTAACAACAGTTTCACTTTGACAAGCCATGCCGGCATTTGAATCTATTGTTACATAAAACGAATTCAAGCTAAAATCTTTCAAGTTAAGCCATTAGAATTTCATTGAAAGCAAGCCCATTTCAAAAATACAGCATCAAAGTTGTAACTTACATCGAAAGCAGGAGTATCATCCGGTACTTTGTAACGTGAAGGCGCAGCGCGGAGATCCTTTGTCTTTTCCTCTATTTCTTGCAAAGAGTACGCTGCACAACAAAAGGGGGGTTTTCAAATTCACCACTCAAACCCTGACCCGCTCTTTCACCACGAAAATACACCAAATGCAAAGCTTTTATCCTACTTCGCGCCAAAATTTATCACATTTTTCCTCCACAAGCACTAAAAAATAAAAAAAAATAAAATAAAAAATTCAAGACTCCACAAACTAAAGCCAAATTCAAATCTAACATTTCTGTTCTTTGATGTCTCCTCAGTAAAAAGAAATTGAATAATTCATTTCAGCTACGTAACACAATCAATCCAAGTAACCGAAATTGTTAGCCATTTCTTCATTCTTTTTCTCCTAAAGCACAGAAATTATCACATTTTACCACCACAAGCGTCACAAAAAAAAAAAAGAAAAAAAAAAACACTTCCCAATCTATAGCGAAACTCGAAGTTTGATATATACTAGAAAAAAGAAATGGAACAATTCAATACAGGAACCAATATTATTAACCGTTTCTTGATTCTCTTCCTCCCCAAATACTCGAGAATTAAACAGAAATGAGAGAAAATTTATACGCATAGGAAATCGCGTACCGTACGAGAGATATCCGGTGGCGGCGGTGGCTCCGGTGAGAGCTCCGGCGATTGCATACTTTAGAAAGCTCCAGGATTTTCTTACGGATGCCGTCGAATTGGGGTCAGCCGCCGGCGGAGGCGGTTGATCGGCGGCTAGGGCTTCGGCGGCGATGAGCGGCTCCTTGGGAGCGTTTGAGGCGACGCCGGAGCTGAGAACGCGGCGATTGTGCTTCGACAGCAATGTGATGAGACGAGGACGGAGCATTACGGAAGACATTTTCGAGAGATTCTGAGGTTTGTCTTTCAGTGATCTCTGTCAGAGGTTTTGGGGTTGAAGTAGGGTTTTGCGCAGAGAGAGGAGAGAGAGAGGGGGAAGAGAGAGAATTAGGGAGTGTTTGGGAAAAGGTTAATGGGTTTATGGAGGGCTGTTTGGATGTCGGCTTATGCTATGCTATCCACTGTTTGGACACCGACTTGTTTTAGTTTAATGTATTTATTTATTTATTTTTGGGGAGAGGATCTTTCATTGCATTATTGGGGGTTCACTTCAAATGATTAATTTGAAGGAAAAAAATAAGAAAAAAATATAGGTCTGTCTAATTCGCTGATCGAATTTTTAATTCGAATTGATATGTGACTTTTTGTGAGAGCTTTTTATTTTAACAAAAAAGATAGATATGATTGTTTCTTAGAGCTTTATACTGTAGTAAAACTCAAATTTTAAACTCGAATCAGTGAAATGAACGGGACCTATAGGTTTATATATTAGGGCAAAATTCTCTTTTTTATAACATTAATAAAACTATTTTAAAGTTAAAAACTATTAACTATTTTAAAAATAACACCCTCAGTGATTATCACTAGTAATTACAAGATGCACTATTATAATTTTTGATAACTATAATTACTAGAGAAATCTACCATCCTAATAACAAAATAAGATAATGAAAGTTGTATGATTATGGAAATTCATCAGTTAATAAAAAATTTATTGAGGAAAGCTTCTGCTTTATTTAGAAATGGTAATTTTACTGTTATTTTATTTACATACACGGATAAACCTTAAATGGAGCACGGTAAATCCGATCTAAACATTTTTCGATTGAAAACAAATTAAAAATTAACCTATCACGTGCTACGTTGGCATGGATGCATTTTAGAGATCCTCAACTTAATCACCCATCCCAATTAATTATAGCTTTTTTTATTAAATATATTATGCATAACATTCTATAATATATATATATATACACACGTTAAAGAAAATGTCATATTACACATGCCACATAATATGTAAAAAAAATATTATTTTCTTTTATCTTTAGTTCAAAGTGTTATATAGTTGTATTATTTATGTAATTATTGTATCTTGAAAGTTTGAAATACACTAATTGGTAAATAAGGACCGTGCGAGTGCCCCGAACATGTGACAGAGAAATCCGTCGTATCTCTATCAACTTAAAACGGTTAATGGGCCGGGTTAGATTATTTTCTTTTGCGGTGCGGGTTAGCTAGAAGGTCACCCCATTCGTTGCCATTCCTAGCTTTATTTCAAGGTTTGCCCAATCTAGTTTTGGGTTTTTGGGCCAGCGTAAACAATCTGGATTCAGTCTGAGCCCAATAATTTTTTGGGGCCAATATGCCATAACCTTACGCGATACCGGGCCTAAATTCAGGCCTCGAAGAAGTAGCCAATAAGATTACGAGGAAAAGAGCATTTGAACGTTGTAGATTTTTCTAGATTTGCATTTACACCCTATTTGTTTCCCTAACAAAACAAATTTAAAACCGACTTCTGCTTTACATTACTTGGAGCAAAAGAAAGAAAATTATCACTTTTGGAACAATAATGAGAGAGACATCTTGAAGAAATTCTAGAAATCAAAAGAAATATCTCCACAATTTTCTTTTTTTTTTTTTCCAACTTGAAATATCTCCACAATTATGAAACTTTAAATTAATAAAGTAGCTACTTTTTTTCAAGTTTCGAAATTGATTTACAACTACTTCAACAACAACAATAACACAAAGGTCTATGGTGGACACCTCCCGAAACAAAAAGCATTTATAACCCACCATGACACAATAAGATATTTTTTGTTAAAATAATTGACTCATTTTAAACCACACCCTCTTGCCCCATATAAATATTAGTAGCTCTCCTTCTTGTTCCTAAAACAAGATTGAGTAACTTCTTTCTTTTCTTTTCTTTTCTTTTTTCTTTCTTTTCTCTTTTGAGTTTTTTCTTTTTTTTTTTTTTTTTTTTTTTTTGGTTTTTTTTTTTTTTTTTTTTTTTTTTTTTTTGGGGGTGCAGGTAATTCAAATGGCACTCAAGTGGTTCTTGAATTCTACATTTACACATGTCTTGGGTCATACACAAAATGTTGGCATGATTGAGGGAAGTGGGATTAAGGAAGGAAAAGAAAGGAATGTTTCAATGGTTTCAATTTGCAAGGAAGAGTACCCAAATGGATTCCAAATGCCTCTTCACTATCCAAAGTACAACAAGGCAGATTATGAGAAAATGGAAGAATGTAAGTTGGACTTGCTTCTCAAAGAATATGGGTTCAAAGTTAAGGGCTCTCTTGAGGAAAAGAGGCAGTTTGCCGGGGGTGCTTTCTTATGGCCGGATCAACTTTGATTCCCAACTCTTTCTCGCAAATTTTATCTTTTATCCAATCTAGTAGTTGTATTTATTTATTTTTGTGAAAAGTAAAAGAAATGTGTCTTTAGGTTTTTTTAAGCATGGAAATATGTACTAGAAATATGTGTTTTAGGCGTTTTTATTTTGATCGTGAGGGGGGTTTGCTTTCATCATTCCCCTTTTTGGTTTTGGGTGTGAAATTTTGGTTCTGTATTTGGAGTCCAAATAGAGTTTTATCTAACAGGTGATATGTAGTATAGCTTTAAAATAAAATAAAATAAAAATAAAAAAAATCTCCATTTATGGTATTGAGTTGTATTGTATATAGTCTTCCTTTTTCTTTTCTCTGAAGATAATTGTCCTTCTATCAATGGGAATATGACTATGGTATCCACAAGGCAAATATACATGTATCTATTTGCTATTCTCTTTCTTCTTACTAAGTATCTTCTGAGGAAATTTTCCACTCAAAAATAACTTCACCGTGAATAGTATTTGTGAATAATATAGTATACGTGAATAGTTCCGTATATGTGAATAGTACGACATAGATAAAACAGTGCTATAAGCGAACAAACCCGACAAAATAACTATTGAATATTGAAAATAAATAAAAGAATACTAGAATTAATAACGGAGTTCGGCCAAATATTAGCTACGTTTTAGGGTACTATGGACCACTCTATTTACTAAAGAGAAGAAAGATTACAAATTAAGCAAAAATTATAAAAACCCACAAATTAGAAATCTAAAGAATTTCCTACAAATTTACAAAGAGGGGAAGCTCTCAATTTTTAAAATGCAAAACAAATAATGGGAGACATGTATTTATAACCTCTACCTCTCCCTCTTCTACGTTTGAACCAGCTGGGTTCACTTTTTCGGTGCTCTTTCTCTTTTTCTTCTCCTTCTCTAACTTTCTCTTTTGGTTTTCAACATAAGTGTGCAGCCCATATTTTTTATATGAGCCACCCATATTGATTAACAGTATCACAAATATGTACCGAATTATAAGGGTGCGCCCTAATTTTCTTTAATTCTAATTTTCACTTCATTTCCATTATGAAATCTCGTTCATGCTTTTTACTCATGCATATAAATAGCCTTAGGCTTTAAAATGTGTGCCTTTCTAAAGGACGCCCTAGATATGAGCATAATTAGGCTTGTAGAAAAGTAGAAAAGTTTTAAGATCTAGATGAATAGACAAGTTTCATGTTTGGAGTATTACAGATTCCATCCCGATTGAATCGCGTCCGCAAAATTTGTTGACTAAACTTCGATTAAGAGTAAAATAGTCTAAACCGTTAGATTCAACGTTAGTCCCTGTTTAGTATCTTACTCCTTGTAAGAAAATTAACCCATTGGTGAAGAAAAGTTTAGACGGACCCCGAGGGTCAAAAACATTAAAATTTCCATTAGTAAGATCAAAACTGTAAATTTTGAAAAATGAGGATCAAAGTGTAAAGGAGAGTTCATAACCTTATTAAATATTAATGCACTAAGAAACCTAGAAAGTCGAACTTAGAACCCTTAAGACATTTAAAAAATCTATTAAGGGCAAAACAGTCATTTTGACTGCAAGGGGGTAAGATACATAAAAGGACACTAACCTCTGAGTTTTGGCTCAAGGTGCTTTAAGGGGAAAATATTTGGGGTAACAAATATCTTAGGCTTATGATCTTAGAATTGTCAAAACCCGCTAGGGGTAAAACAATAATTTTCTTATGAGGGTAAAAATAGTCAACCAAAGCCGGAAAAGTTAACCTAAATCCCCTAGAAGACCAGAGATAACTCTAACGTGACCCAACTAACTTAGAGAATTCAAATGGGCCCAAAGACCCAAGTAGAAAATAAAATAACCTTTAGGTTAACCAAGAGAAATCTACTAGGTGAAAGTTAGAACCCAAGTGATAAGGTCGAATCCTATCCTACCTTTAGAGATGTTTAAGATTAGGGGTGAACCTAAGAAGACTTTAGAGAGTAATGTAGTGGTAAATTAGGAGTATACTTACGAAAAGATAACATAATTTCTGGGGTTCTTAATTTAATTAGTAAAACTTATGCAGATAATTAATTATTTAACTAAATTAATTAATTAGTTATAGGTATATAGTAAATTAATAATTATAAAGTAATGATTAGCCTAAATGGATTAATAAAATTTAAAGGGAGATTAACTAATTAGTTTATAAAATTCGCTGGTTAATTTAGAAAATGTGATTAAAGTTAGAAAAAGGGGAATAATTAATTGAACTAATCCTTATAAACGTCCATAAGATTAGGCCTCTAAGACTTGAGCAAATTAAGTTTGAAACTCCGACAACGAACTAACAATACTATTTGAATACAAAACTAACAACTTTACAAGAGTGGTTTGATGTGGGTAAAGACTTGGAAACGTTTGATTCATGGATTAGAATAATGAGATTAGAACTATTTTCGATTTACGTGTATTTTTTGTGAGAGAAAATACTGTAACGAATCATGAACCATGATTCAAATCATGGTATGAATCCTCATACCAAACGTCTCCATTGGCACTCAGGTGAATACAAACCTGACCTATAGCATGAATCTGTTTTAAAAGATATGGATGATGAGTTGTTTGCTTGATGTGCATAATTCACTGTGACATGTATGATTTGAGTATTGTGATTAATTGCTTCTTTTAAAATATTTATTATACTATATTTTAGTGACATGATCATAATCGCATGTATAATCTTTATAAGAGGTTAAGATAAAGGAAGCATAGTAAGTTATTGTATCAAAACTCGGAGTTTAATGGGAGGATAATTACCCTTAGACGCAAATGGAGATTCATAACAATAATAATTATGATCTAATAATAATCAGACTAAATATTTGGTTCGTTCCTCTGACTCTTACTGGTTGAGCGAAATCCGTACCAGCACAAGGCCCTTAACCATAATATACGCTTTCATAATAAAACATAAAAGGCCATGCATTCTTTTTAGGTTGTCTTGTGTGAAAAATATTTTATGAGGATACATGTACTTACTGAACTATTGCTTATTAAAGTCTCATTTATTTCGCGGATTCGAGTTTTCAATTCGAGTTGAAATGTGATATTTTCTGAAAGGTTTTCACTATAGCAAAAAAAGTTAGATGTGACATTTTCTGAGAGTTTTTTACTGTAAAAATTTAAAACTGAAAACTCAAATCGGTTAAATAAACAAGGCCAATTGGTTTGTGTTGTGGATAAAAAGCCTGTTATTCATTAATGGGCTTCGTGGTGGAGACGTGTAAGGGATGAACTTGAATACTTTCATGCAACAATTCTGCATAATGATTAATATGGTTTTAAGATATGAATTAAGTTATTATGTTCTATGTTATGCGAATGAAGACTTTATCAGAACATACTTTTTTATGTTAAGTTCAAGAGTACTTGGAAACGAATTGTTATCACAATAATATGTTTTATTGATATTTTAGTGCGAATTTATATTTTTGATTTGTTTAAGTAAATTCTGAAACTTTTTGTGAACGAAGGGTATATTATTTTAGAATGAGTTTTCGAAAAACAAATCCTGAAATTTTAGTAACTAATTAACTATTAAGTTTTTAAAAGATAAAACCATTTCCACTATATTAGTAACAGCTTAAGAAAATTGGGTCTTTCCATTATATATTCAATCTAAAGCAAATAAAGCAACATTTTAGTTTTAGCAAAGAAACGACAAGAAGCTTTTTTTTTTTTTTTTTCAAAGCTTGAAAACGCATAGAAACTATAAAATACTTTTGTTTTTGGTGATTTAAACTTAAAACGAGAAGGAAAAAAAAAAAGAAAAAGCCCATAGATAAAGTTAAAGAACACCGGAAGATCCATGCATTAAGCAAGGCAATATTTTTCAGGGAAATAGTAGAAAATAGACTATATAAGTCAATTTTTAGTTATAAAAATTAATAGATCATAACTTGTTAAGTTATGGTTCATAACTAGATAAATTATAGATAAACTTATCAAGTTATGGTTCATGGTCAGACAAGTTATGGACAAAAACCGTAAATTATGGACAATAACTTGTCAAGTTATGGTTCATAATCAAACAAGTTATGGACGAAAACAGTAATTTAGCCAATTTATTAATTTATCTAAACTATTGACCTATTAATTTTAATTCATCTCAAGTCTTGGCCTATTTCACTCTTTCTCCCTATTTTTCTCGGCAACTTTTTCTTGCTCGGATTTTCTCGGGAAGATTGGGTTGATCAAATTCTTTTGTAATTTCGCTTGGATAATCTGATTGTTATGGTGCAAATTAAATTCCTTTGGAGAGTTCGTAGACCCGTTGGCATCAATTTTGCCGAATTCCGAAATCAATTTTGGTGTTTTTGTTTTTATTCTTATTCTTTGTTAATTTCTGTTTGAAATCTGAGGTTGGGGTTGGAGGTAATTTCCAACATACTAGTTTTGGTACGTGTGATGATAGCTTTTATAACATAGAATGTGAACTAAAATATGTATAAAAATAAAAATAAAAATAAAAATAAAGAAGAAAAATTTACTTAGAAATTTAAAAAGAGTATAAATTAGACGGTAGCGAGAGTATCCTAAGGAAAATTGCATACCTGATTCCATTTAGAGATATAAAGTTTGAATCCCCACACAAGAATATACATTAATGATAGTTTAAATCAAAATGTTACATTTAATACAAAAAAAAAATACATGAAACATTCTAAATTATAATATGACAGAGTTAAAAATTAAGTAGTTGAAACTTAAAAAATAAAGAAAAAAATGAGGGAAAAAATCATAAATTTAGAATGGCATAAATAGTAGCCATACACAAAATCATGTGTTTTTCTTTATTTTAAATGTTTGAAAAGAAAAGAAAAATAGGAAGGATTTAAAAAAAAAAAAAAAGATAAAAGAACCAAAAAAACCAAAACTTAAGAAACAAAACAGGAAAAAAAAAATTCAAACCAGGTCGTTTTAGACGACGAAGAAGTGAATAGTAGAGTCAAGATCGGCTCTTTTATATATATAGGATAGGATAGGATATAGGATCATATTTATTCTTTATTTTATGTAAACTTACTAGAATATTTATATATATATAGCCTCGTTCACTTAGTAAATTTAAGTTTTCAATTCGAGTTAAAATATGACATTTTTTAAGAATTTTTAACTGTAATAAAAAAAGTTAGATGTGACATTTTCTAAAAGCTTTTTACTGTAAAAATTTAAAACTGAAAACTCGAATCGGTAAAATGAACGATGTCTTAAATTATCTAATTTTTCCATGAGTTTGAGATTTACTATATTAGGCGGAGAA